TGAGAATCCCACATACTCAGGTTTATTTTCCTGTCTTCTTTAGTCAGGAAAGTATTTTCGGTTGGAAAAGGAGGGGGGAAAAGGTGGAGTGTGTTTCATGTGTCTAGCAGCTGGTGAAAAACAGACAGGGGGGGAGAAAGAGTTGAAATTCGGGAGAGATGTAGGTCAGCTCTCCTTTCCTTTATCATCCCCCTCAGATAAAGATGCGGACGGAGCAGCGTGGCCACAAGTGAATTAGAGAAAATAAACAAACGAGGGAATATGCTCCCAATGGACAAGCAGTTCAGTATGTCTCTGTGCCGCCTTCCTTCACTGGCACTCGTCATCGTTTTGGGTTTTATTGCAGGCACCGACGAGTCATATGGCGTGACTGTTTGCGTTTGGCTCACATGTGCTCAGTGTTGCCAGCTGACTATTTAGTCCGACTGGAAATGAACTCAACATTTTAGTACAGTCTGGAGACATGATGCGTTTACAGAGGAGAAGAGGGCTTGTTTATACATGTTTGGACTAAAATAAACTTGAGATTAAAGTGAATTAAATCCCACAAGTCATCACTTTAAAGCGTTTGGAGTTTGACTCCCGCAGTTGCCAAAAGCCAACCGAAACAGTTGCTTTCGGTTCAGGTCACTGACGAAACCCCGTGCAGGTATATGTGTCTTCTTTTTAAATTTTCAATATTTTCAAACAATTGGCCTTATTTATTTCACAGTAAAGAAGAAAAACAAAGTGACATAACTACTAACGCGAAAGTAATGTGACTTCCGGTTCGGGTCGCTGACGGAGTCCTTTTTGTGTCGTATAAATCAAACTTATTAGCTGTGACTTTGCCGCTCTTCTATCCCCCCGCCCCCCAAAAAAAGTATAAATAATAAATACAATAAAAACTAATTCCTAGACAGAGTTTAAAAAAGATTACGAATAGAAAGAAGACACACACTGACCTCAACTGGAAGGAATTGCTTCATTTTGTTTTGCCGAATGGGGAAGTCAAACTTTGAAACGTTTTAAGATCACTTTAAAGCATACCACATTAAAACATGAAACTTGGCCCATTATAACGTGAACCTTATCTCATTATAACGTGACATTTTTTTGGGGGGGGGCGGGCATTAGCAATAGCGGCAACAGGTGGGTACACGGGTTCGTTTTTTACTTTCTGAAATCTAGTGGAAGAGGACTTACTTATTCTGCTTATCACTAACATCGCTGGTATCGGTAGAGGAACAAAGATTATATGTGACGTAACGGGATCATTTTGATAGGGAAATGGAAATAGGGAGACTGCTGTTTGTGCCTCAAGAAAAGACTAAAAAAAAAGAAAAAAATCCTTTCTGGCTGTTCTGGACATTGGGTAATAAGAAGCTCAAGGTTGTTTTCCTCAACTTTCAGATGCCAACAAAGGGGAGTCACCGCGGGTCATCAACGTCGTCCTCCCAGACCACAGACAGCACTTTCTCTTGCCTCTGGGCTTCGTCCTCACCGCCTTCCTCCTTCTGGCGTTTGTCGTCCTCGTCATCATCCTCATCACACGCAGACGTAGAGTAACAGGTAATTATTAAACGATCATCCATTATCATTTTAATAAAGAAAAATAAACGTATTTCAAGGCAAGTATCGGAATGAATACAATTACAACAAGGTACACGTATTTGTGTGATAATAAAAAATAATAATTATACACATTTTCACTCAAAATGCCACAGGAATAAAATAATATAAAATACAATTCGATAAGAAAAATGAACACAACCCAGAATGATATTCATGCTTGTTTTTGATTAATATTCCCCTGACACCACTCAGCATTATATTAACGTGAAAGTTAAAATTAAAAAAAAAATTAAAGGAGAATTTCGAAAACAGCTTTAGTATTTGATCTCAAGATCGCGCTCTAATTAAGTGGCTGACGATTGCAGATCAATATAGACAACAAATTATATTTCTCACTGTACTTTTCTTCTGGTTTCAGAGATATATTCATTGGAATCCACGAGGTGAGTATACAAGACACCGCACACTGCACAAACACAAAGTTTTTTCCACTACTGCCTTCCACTGGGCAAGTGTTATTAGTGTGGCACAGTATTTTACTAATAAGGTGTAATTGCATATTTGTAGGCTAAAAGGGTGCACTAGTAGGGGAAAAGGTAACGAATCATTCTGGTAAGACAATCGTTCTCCTGGTGGGGCCAATGAATTGTCTTACTGCTGAGGACAAGGAGCATACGAGTACATTGTCCTCTCACAGATATTGAATAAAGGCTCAAACGGCTTTCCAGAGTGATGAAGCAAGATTGTATGATTTCACAATTTAAGACTCGCTCGAGACTTCAGGTTAATTTGAGATTGAATTCATGTGACTTTCTCCCACCTCTGCCTTGAACACGATATCTGCATTTAGGTCCAACAGAAGTCGTAGCTGCTCAGATGAGTTTGAGATGGATGTTGCAGAGGCGTCGCTGCCCATTCGGGAGCCGGATGACAGACTGGGTGAGCCAAAAGCAACTCAGCACCATCTTGTATTCGAGCGGATGAATCAACATTTACACTTCCTCTGGTGTGATTTGAAGACTTTAAGAACAACCTGCTGAAGGAGGTCAACATGAACACGACCAGCAAAGTCATTGATCTGGATAAAGGTAAAAGTTGAACAGAAAAATAATGACATGAATTGAACTGACTCTGGGTTTACACTCTTCTAGAGATGGAGAAGTGTCGCAAGTGAGAGAAGTGACAATTGGGTCACTGGCTGGTCCAGAGGCTGCTCGTCACACCCACGCTGTTGGGCGTTCTGGCAAGGGAGACTCCACAGAGATGAATGTGTGTCATCCAAACGACACAACAACAACCGAAGCCCACATGTTTTCTTAAGGCGCAAACACAATGAATGTTTTGTTCATCATGTCACGTACATCCACGATACTACAAGGTACCACAGTGCCACCTTGATGTTATTATATGGAGGTGCAATACTGTATTTTAAATCAGCGGTACCCATTTGGTACCGGGCCGCACAGAAACAGATCAGCGAGCTGTGAGCGTATTTACGCCATCAGACATCGGAAATGTGCGCGACTCTAGCCAAACGCAGTCCTCCTTATAACGTTGGTTTGCAAGAATAAATAAAAAGAATCCGCCAAGAAATAAAAAGAACCAGAACAGAAGGTATTCGTAACAAATTGGCCAAAAGTAAAGCTAAATGCGCCACTGACGGGCAGCCATGACTTCCCAAGATGAAGCTATTTTGACAAGAGAGGTCCCCACCCTCGCGGTATCTCCAGAGCGACGTGGAGGAGGAAGCTGTTGTGCGTGGTCTGTCGTCAAAAACAAGGCAACACGAGAAACCTGTTGATTAATTTGAACAAGTTGCACCCAAGTGATCAAGCGGAAAGCATGAAAATGCGAGCAGAGTTTGCACAGCCTGCCCGCGTAAAACATTGCTAATACAGTAACTAGCCTGCAGCCACCGGATGATTTGCAAGTAGCAATGATGCTAACGCCGTATGTAGGATCATAACTTTTACAATTATTATGTTTACATTATAAGGTGTATTTATTTTTCCTGATTGGTCCATGGTCCATTCTCAGTAGTAAATTGTGTTATTTTAGTCTGCTTTTGTTGTACAGTAGAATAACACAGTTTGAAATTAATGAAAAAAATCCAGGTTAATCAAATGTTTCATTACTCTAATAATCTTCGTTGTCAGTACCAGTGCTTTAAAACTGGCCATTTAAAAGCAATAACAAAATGGTTGCCGGTCCGCGAACAGCATGTACCTGTCTCAACTGATCATGACACAAGAAAAGTTGGGGACCACTGTTTTAAATGACGCCTGACTCAGTTGTAGGATTATGAATTAAAGTTCTATTACAGCTTTTGATGCATCAATCAAACTTACATTCCGCAGTTTTATTTTCTCTGGACTAAAGCAACATTGAAGGGCTCTTTATACTGATAGGGCTCTTCCAAAATGTAGTTGTTCAGTATGTTGCAGTAACACAGAAGCAGTTACTTGCCTTACTATGCTTGATTTGTGGATTGGTGTTTTTTATCATGTATTAAACGATTTTTTTTACACCAGGTCTATCATTGATAAGCAAAGAAACATACTAAAAAGCTCAGACATCATAGTGCATTTATTCATTCCTTTGTGTCACAAACAGTCCCTGAATTCAAGACAAATGGCTTTTATACACTGTGAAGTTTCGTGTACATCTCTCCTACAAAAACATGACACTGTTTTATATATATATAATCAATCTCAATCTAAAATTGGTAAGAAAACCAGGTTGGTTTTACACAATTGGGCCACTGTATGGAAGGAAGCAGCAGTCAAGCGCTCACTTACAGCAGCACATAACAATAGCTACAACATTCAGAGTCGAGTGGAAACACACACAGACGCACGCACACACATATACATACATACATACACACAACACACACACACGCGCGCGCGCGAACACACATAAGGAATATGTCAGTAATCCCAGGATCACATGTACTTAGTACAGTGAGTTTAGGAATAGGGCAGGATTATTAGGGAGAGAAGGAGCATTCTTGGGGCACTGTAAATTCTCCTTCAAGTGATGAAGTGTATCTGCTGCTGTTCAGGGGTCCGCATAACTAACGGACATCTCACCGGCATATAATCAACCAATAGAATACAAAGGTGACACTCCAGCAGCAATTCATCCAATAAATTTAAGAGTGTCATCTGACAGAAAGCAGCACGTCTTTGTATCCAGACAACCGTTTAAAACATCTACCTTGTGTCCACCGTCGTGTGACATGTCACGGAAGGAGTTCACATGTACTGTACAAAGTGTACACAATGTACATTAAGTGCTTCCTTTGTGTTGGGTTGCACAAACTGGGGCAGCGATGTCTGTGCGCACAGTGCTCATCTTCAGGGGGCGTTAACAATAAGACCCATTTCCTAAAATAGTCTTTCAACCTGTACTCCATTGTCACTTAAGCGTGTCGCTTGTGTTGTGATACTTGGACCGGTCCAGTATGGTCTTTGTCCTGCCACATGGTCACACTTGACCTACAGGCCTATTGTGAGTGCACAGGGTTCATGTTCGTGGGGGGCAGAAACCATGGGGGCGGGCATCTTGAAATGCGCCCAAAGTAGCCGCAGGAAATACTTGAAATACAACACCAAGAGAGGTATAATAGTCATGGTCCCATGACCGCACTCGCTTTCGGCTGACTGAGCATAAATATCTTGTAAAATGAAATGCCCATCGCTCTTGCCCCCTTTTCAAATCAAACTATCCAAACGGACAGAGAATAAATCATCTGGTCTGATCAGACAAGATGCACGGTGAGAGTTGTTGAGGATGGATGGTAATTTTGGGGTCACAGCTCTCAAGTGTCCACAATTGAGTCCGGCTCCAGAACCTCCAGAGGGGACGAGCTGTCGGGGTCTGGGGGCGGAGGCGAATGGGCCGCTCCCGCACCGACGTTGCAGGTCACACAACCCTGAAGAACACGGGGCATGATCACATGAATGTTTAGGTGAGCAGCGGAGATGAATGACTGCGGACTAGCATGCGCATTCCCACCTGAGTGTCTATCTCTTGTGGGATGGTGTGTTGCTGGATCCAGGGGTGGACCAGGGCCAGCTCCTCACGCTGATCTTGGCTGAACCATGGCTGGAGAGGCTGAAGCACTCGCAGTTTCTCCCTGTCCTCAGCCAATACCTCATTCTGGTCCCTGGAGGAGGTAATACATAAATTAAATAAATAATGAACCTCCGAAACAACACATGGTGTTTCGTGATGACAGACCTTTAAAACTGTCATTGCAGTCACACAAAATGAAACATGCTTTCTAGCCTCAAACAGCTGCTATGATAAAACATTTACTGACTACCATTTGCATCACCAAACTATTCAGGTTGTTAACTGTGGCCTGTGGAATGTTCATCCACTCCTCTTCAATGGCTGTGCTAAGTTGCTGGATGTTGGAAGGAATTTGAACAAGTGTGATGAAAAAAGAAAAAAAAAAAAAGTACAATTCAGGGTGGCCTTTTATTATGGACTGTTTAAGGCACACCTGTGCAACAATCAGCATCTTGACATGCTGATTGGATGGATTATCTCAGCAAAGGAGAAATTCCCAGTACCATACATTTAGAATTATAGCGAGCGGTGAGATAGCAACAGAGTTCTCACACTTTCTGTGCTATGTTTTTTTGTTTTGTTGTTTTCCCTCCCAAATCAAATCATCTGCAAGTCATTTATTTTCCAGCAAAATATTGGAAGTTGAATTTAAAATTAACTGGAGTGTTTTGGGGCAATAATTTGTGGAATGTTCAAATTATTAATACAAGTAATTGTCCACATTTTTAAAAATACCTCGTGTGGATCTGGTATGTCATCATGACATGCTCCGACGTGTGCTGGATCATGCTCCACAGCGAGCTCTCCACCTGATTGTCGAAGCTGCGTGGGTGCTCTGCTGGCGCTTCCTGGCTCTTGCGGGCTTTGCGTGATGTGTCTGAGGAATCGTTGCTGGCAAAGTATTTGCTGCTGTTGCTGCTGCCTGGAACCACATAGAAAGTGGGATTCATTCCCCTCTACCTGCTATGAGAAGCAAGTTATTTGTCTCAGCCCTGCAGTAGAATGTTCACAGTGCCTCATAAGTCACACAATCAAGCTAATTTTGGAAGTCTTTTCTGTGACTATTTTTGTTTTATGAAATCACCACCACTGGGTAAAGTAAGGGCAAAGAATAAAATATGTGATTATAACTACAAAACATTAAATTGAGTGCTGAGCTGAGTTTTTTTGCTGTATTTCAGCTTTATTATATAGTGGTTAAATTCGCTTTATGATGACAGTCAGACATTGTTTCAAAATTAGAGCAGTTTAGAAGGTTTACAGAGTCATGGAGTTGGTTGCGTTTGGTTTTGCCGTTTCCACTGTTCTTCAATGAATTTGTGATGTCAAAACTCCTCCGTTCGGGATGCTTACCAGTGTGAGATGTAGAGGTTCCATTGGAGCCAGATCCAGATCCAGACCCCAGTGAGCCTCCAGACTCCCCTGATCCAGACCCAGAGGCATTGGAGCCAGTCCCTGACCGTGCATCTTCTTGCAGCAGAAGGTCGAGGAGCTCACTGGAGGTGGACTGAGCATCATGGTTCCCAGAATCACTGGGGGCATCACCCTGAGGAGGGGAAAATGTTTGGTCAGAACCCTAGCGTGACCGCAACAGAGCTGTATAAAAAAAGTGACAATTATTGACTCTGTACTAAAGGCAATTGTGTTAGTTGCGATGAGAGAAGTTTTCTTGCCATCACCTCATTGTCACCCTGCTCATGAATGCTTTCTGCTAGGTTGTGTCCAGTGCTGCTCTGTCCTTCATTCGGTTTGGGCAGTTCCTCCTGCAGCAAGTTGAGCTGAAGTGGAGAGCTTGAGCGTGAGCTGGAGAATAATGCGCGCGGGCCTGCCGTCTCCTCCTCTTCACCGATGGAGGAGCAGGCCCTGTGTGAGCCGAGCAGGGTGCCAGGGGAAGTCTGAGCTTGGGGCACAGGCTGCACTTGGAACTGGGGTTGTGGAAAGGGGACACCAGGGGCGAATCCCGCCATGGTCATTGGCGCCTGGGGCAGCATGGAGGCAGCGGAGGGGGGGTAAATGGATGGATAACCTGGCGTGAAAGTTGGGTAGTTGGGCAGGATGACAGCCATGACTGGTGTCATGAAGGGATTGATACTCTGGGCTGGCGCCATGGGTTGAATGTTGTGAAAATTGGGGATATTCTGCAGATTCTGGATGGGTTCCATCTGTATATTTTGCATGCCGGGCATGTTCTGGTTTTGCTGCATGAGATGGAAATTATAATTGAGCTGGGTCTGGTCAGGGGGCTGGACCACCATAGGAGGGGCTCCCGGTAGCTGTTGCAGTCTTGACGGTTGCTCTGGGGCCGGTTTGGGGGCCAACATGGGAAAGAATGGCGCTTGAAGTGGAGATGTTTGATTGTAGGTCGCTGCCATCTGTGGCTGGGAAGATTCTGACGAGGGCCAGGAGGAGTCTGGGACACGACGAGATGGTACGGGTGGCGAGGCATAGCTGTCCGAAGAGCCCACGGGTTTGGGCCGCCTAAGTCGGGGCTTTACTCTTCGAGAGCGGTTAAGCCCCCCAACGCTCATTGGACGTGGATATTCACCTGTCGCAAATTTAATTTGAAACGGGGCATTTTAATACGCACAAATATTTGTGTGTGTCAGCCATTTGTGGTTGTCAACACAAACCTCTGTGTTGTGAGTGAGCCATGGAGCTGTTGTCCAGCTGGAGATAGAAACTATAGGGGCTCTGCAGAATGCGATTGCGAAATCGGTCCACATACTCTTGCTCCTCCTTCTGCGTGTGAGCTGAAAGCACCTCCTTGGTAAGACCTATGAACCTTCGCTCCTCAGTGGCAGGGCTTGGTGCCGGATGGGCTGTGGCTGGAGCAGCATCAGTGGGCTCGCTGCCCATTGGCACGTCCTCTAGCGCCGTAGCCTCTGTTGAGAGGAACCACACATACACAAAAAAAAAAAAAAATCAGAAGGAGAAGGGTTTTATGAGATTGCATTCATCTCAAAACAGTATTATTATGTACAATATATGAACAAAAGTTGTGAGACAGATCTCTAAAAATGTAAGAGGACTGTGCCCTACCATGGAAAGCAATAAAACCCACACAGGGATAAGTTTGGTTTGGCAAAAATGGTGAGCCCTGACCTCAACACCATCATTTGGGATTAACTACATCATTTTAATTTGCTGTAGCTGCAACGACTAGTTCTCCAAATACAAATCCGTTCAGAGCGTGTATCATACATACCTGATTCAGGTTGGGGAACATGGACGATGGTGCTGCTGTACGAACACTGACTGGTAACAGAGACCACACTCATTGCCTTAGTGGACATGGTGATGTCTGTTAGAGGAGCTCCAACAACAGCTGCGGTGCTAGGCCCGACCGACACCTCGCTTTCCAACATCGCTACTGGGCAGAGAGAACACATTTCGGAGAAATGAGATAAAAAAAAAAATAAAACTAACTAACAAACTTGATTCATGTTTGTGTTTTTACCATCTGATGCAGCTTGGGCTGTGTCATTGGCTCTGGCAGGCTTGTCATCTTCAGAGGTAGAGGATGAGGAAGAAGAAGTGGCAAGGGAATGAGATTGGCTTTTCCGTTTCAAAGCTGGCCCTGTACAGCTCTCCAAATATCTGTATGACACCGCCAAAGACACACAGTGGATGAACAGATGAAGAGGAATTTGGGTATTCGATAAAGATGACACAAGGACCACACATACTGTACCTAATAATGTTGTCCACACAGTTGATCTGCTGGTAGGAGGGAATGTGTGTTGGTTTCCTACTTTCATCAGGATCCCCCACCTCAGGATGGGAGGCTACCGGAACCAAGTGTGCTATAAGACGACAATGTCATTTCAATTAACATTCAACACCCCCAAAAAAACACTTTATTTGTACTTCAGATCATTTGTTGGTTTGCACTACCTGGGGCGGGTTTGCCAAGCAGAGTAATTTTGTGGCTGGTATCAAAATAGGCCTGCTTTCCCCAATTCCTGACTCTGTTCACATCTGCACAGATTTGCTGAAGAGTCATCTGCAAGAACACAAAGATGCAATGTAATTCAACTTGGTTGCAGCGTTGACACTTCACAACAAGCATGTGATGATTTCGGGACTTACGGGTTCCCGGTGTGAGTCCTCCCACAAGTTACCGTTGCTGTCGCTCGAAGAAGCTACGCTGATGTAATGCTCATGAGAACCGTTACTTCCTAAACTGCCATAACCACTGGAACCGTTGTTATGGACAGGCTGGGGGGGGATGGAAGGGCTCATTAATGAAGTTGAGCAAGAGTCCTGAAAAATTTCCTTTGCGAGCAATGTTATGAACTCAAATAAGTGCATGCGTAGCATCACGTGTACCCATTTAATAATCACCTGCAAGAAGAGTTTATAGATCTTGGCTTGCAAATCTTTGATTTCTTCATGGGTCACAGTTAAATCCACTTTACTCGGAGCAGCAAACACATCCTCATTCAGTGGAGTCCTAGCCAAACGGCAGACAGATACATTACAAGTCTTTTCACACATTTAATTCTCCACCTGGGACCACTGCGTGGTTGTGAATGTGTTTTATTACTGCTTACGTTCTGACTTTGTGGCGTCCTATGATGAAGGCCACCTTGCGGCTCCAAGGGTTGATGAAGCTGGACCAGCTGGTGTCCAGTGTGATATAATCTCCATTCTGACAGCGCAATCGAACCGGCGAGTGTTCAAACGGTGACTGACCCGCGTACTTCAACACTACATAAAAGATATAATAAAATGAGAAAAAAAGAAAGAAAGAAAGATAAGATAAGAAAACCTTTATTAGTCTCGCAATGGAGAAATTCCCAATTCACAGCAGCAAAGTTATGAATGAGAAAGAACAAATAGGTTGAAGTTGTAGTCATCCAGGATTAGTCAGCGGGTAGGTCAAACAAGTCAAACCTTACCCTTCCGATGCATTGACAGCAAGAGGGCACGGTCGTCTGGATGAATGCTGGTTAACAATGAGGTGCCAATCAGATCTTGAGGGAGGTATCCTAGCAATGGCACTGCCCTGTGGGACGCCACGAAATTAATTTGATGGTCTGGTGAATTCCTAACTCGCAGACGTGAATGGGTAATGACCTGTCGTCCACTTCGAGGAACACGCAGCCAGGTGAATGGGTGGTGGTGAAGATGCGCTTGTCCATAGGAATACGAGGTGCTGGGATCGCAAATAATACATCACTTGCATGACACTCTTGAAGCAAATTAAGTCGCGAGCGTTATTTCTTCAAACATCAAGCAGAAAATTAAACAGCTACCATGTTAACGGAGCAAATTGTGAGCTATCACTGGGGTAGAGCTGAATGTGTGGGGTGTATGCGGCGTTAATGATAACGATTACCTTCATATCCTGAAATGATGCGTTCGGCCAGTGCCAAGCAACACAGCTCTTCCTCCTTCCCACTGCTCCCCGTTCCCTGCACTTTCAGCAGGTAAGGTGTGACGCGAAATGGGTTGTAGCGCATCTCACCCTCGCGATCCTTGCCACCTCTGAAACACCAATAGCAAGTTTAATGTCACGTACAAGTAACCATATAAAACAGCTACAGAATTGCGATTTGAGCAATTTTCTACCAGAGCTTTGTTGGATTCTTTTTTAATCAGATATTGCGACATAAATGCTGACCTGATTCTGCAGAAGAAAGACTTGACCTGGGCTGAGTCAAATAAAACTCCGGCTGTAGACATAGCAACAAAGAAATTGAATTTATTTTCAATAACATACCGAAGTCCAGTACAACCACCTTACAGTACAAAAGAAAATATATGGAAGTGTGCAACACTTACCTTTGCCATTTGGCAAACAACCAAGTTACAGAATCTTGCGAACGTCACTATTCACTATAAGGCACAGCAACTCCTTCAAGTCTAAATTTAACACATTCCTACAATGTGGCCCTTCTGCTCAATACGATCAACTTTTTTTTTTTTTTTTACAAAAATTCCCAGGCAAAAAAAGGAAAGACCATGGAAAAAATCCTGGAGGAAACACAAAGTGGACTTTTTAGAGAGAGCTACGGGTGAATCCTCAAATTCAGCTCATGGCTGGAGTTTTTATCTTTTGTGTTTGCTTTTATCTATGGCCACTTCCTTGTTCCTTTAAATGACAGAGAGCCAAACCAATTGAACAGGAGCAATGTGAACATGGTGGTGAAAGATATCAAAGTTTCCTGTTCTAAACACATTGTCTCTGTTCCCACAGGGTCATCATCATCATGATTCAACAAACTGGTAATACTGGTCAAAACCTCTCCTTTTGACAAAGTGGGTGCCTTACACGCCTTTTTACTCTTTCTTGTTTTTGAAAGACACTTTCTGGTTCATGGAGATGACGCATGATGTGCGAACAGGCAGTTGTGGACACAGTGTACGATTCCACTCACAGGTACGCTATGTTGACCGAATGGTGATTATAACTTGCTATAGCGGGATTGTACACCAAAATGTAAAGGGTTATCCCATGGCCCATGCTTCACCTCACCTCAAAACCTCTCATTTTTGGGCATTTTGGCTTGATGGAAGTTATTAGTAATAATTACAAAAAAAAACCCATCTAATACTTGACTCGCAAGCACACCTGTGTGTGAGTTGGTCCAGGGCGGGAGATGCGGCTGTGCCGTATAAGAGTAGAAGACGTTCACATCTTGGTGGAAGAGCAACTCCACAAACTTGGCAGACTCCAGGAACTTCCTCTTGCAGCACAGGATACTGGAGGCCTGCTCGGACGCATGTAGCACACGGCCACTCGACAGCGAAAACACCACAACGAAGGAGTCCTACACAAGCGAGGGCACAGAGGCGCACGCACACAAGCAAGCCAAGTCACACACACGCGCGCGCGCACACACACACACGCACACACACAAAGGCAGTAAACACATATACACTCACACACACACCCAGGTGTAAAAAATGAGGGACAAGTGCAAATGTGTCCTTGGGTTTGTACTACATGCACAATTTTGATGCCATTCTCGAATCAAATTAGCGGACAAAAAAATTGGTCTACTGTGTTGAATTAGTATGGTCAGTGTAAGATCGAAGTGCAGATTGCAGTGAGAGTGATGACAAATGGGTGGCAAGTGTTGGCTTGTGTACCGTGTTCTTCAGGGTGTGTTCTGAGGTGACTCTTTCCAGCTCTTCGCGAGTACAAACGGTGGCATTGCTCTTCTCATCCTGGCCATTTCGCATCAGCAATTTGTAATACTCGCTATTGGCTGCAGAGAACGACACGCGCAAGTTGCAAGCACTCGTCCTCTAACCCAATCTCTCTTGTTTGAGAAATATTTTTTGATTAAGCAGCAGGTTACCTTGCACTTGCTTGACGCATTTGAGGGCATAATGCAAGGCCTCGACAGTGCTGGCTTTGCTACGACTGCGTTTGTCAAATGGAAGCCTCTTCTTCATCTCGGTGACTGTGTTCTTCATCTCTTTGTGGACCTGACCTTTACTCCCATCTGCATTCACACTGCTGCGCAGATAAAGACACGAGGGGAAGCCGGGGTTAGGAAGCCGCTCACATCATTCCCATATAGCTTCCTGCGTTTATAACCACCACGAATGGCGTTTGCGGACATGTTTGTCAATATCAAAGGATGACGAGGAGATCATAAAGTAAGAAAGGTGCCCCCCTACTCTTATTACATTCTGTGTCCTGTGGTTGTCGTAATACCTCTTTGTGGAGGCCGAGGTGGATCCTGTGGCGCTGTGATTGTCTGGGGAGGCGAGGTCGTGCGAACCGCTAGTCATCTCCTCGTCTTCCTGCGCCACTTCTCCGCACACGTGAAGCCCAACGCTTGTTGATTGAGCCCCTCTAACCTGCTGCGCCGATGACATCCTGTTTTCTCCTTCTCCTGTAGCTGATGATATTACGGGCTCCTCCACATCTGGGCCGCTGTCACCGGCGGGCATTTCTTTGCTTAGGTCACACCTCAGTAGTAATTCTGCCAATCACCTTGGTCAATGGGGGTCTTCGTATGATCAACAACAGGAATCGGTTCCATGAAGCACTTTGTTGGAATCTGTGTGGAATGCCGGTCAAAGTGGAGAGAATACAAACTGATAAATCTCTACCCCAAAAGACAGTGATGTCATAAATCTCGAAGATGCTCCAGGACAGCTTTAATTTGAGCGTTAGCATATTTATGCAACCAGGTAACTCAAAGTTTTTGTTTGTTTTCAATTGAGCTGTCCAGGTTATAGATCACATTAAAGGTGAAAAAACTAGAAATGATTGACCAGGGTTGTATTTTTTTACATCCCCAAAACCTGGCCTGTTGCCTTGTTACATCCGCTGCCCGCTGAAAAGCTCAATCAGAAGCCAGTGAAAATGTCCTGCAGTCTCTGCAGGATTACATAATCGGGAAGCTCAATTTGGAATACTGGAAGACATCTTGCGATATTGTAACTCTGCTGACAAAAACAAAAAAAACGCAGGTATTATGATGATTTGCTTTGACCTTAAGGAGACAGGTAGAGCTCATAAAACCACATTTGAGCCTTTGCTCTTCAGCAAATTAAACCACCTGCTCATAGAGTGCTTTGACATAGTATTTGCCGCCTCTGGATTTCTGTGTTCTTTTCGTATTTATTACATACAGAGGTTTCAGTTCATTAAACTAATTTTAATGCACACAGCGACTGCCCAAGGAAATCCAAAATGCAGTTTCTAAAATGCCAATTTATTAAAGCACACCCCAAAAAAAAATCCAAAAGTACCTGTCCCTACGTGAAAAAGTCATTGCCGCCCCTTGTTAAATCAGAAAGTAACTGTGACTTCAATTTCACAGGCAACACCCAAGCACCACATTTGCTGAATCAAGAAATCACGTAAATAGAATCTATCAGACAAAGTGAAGTAGGCTACAAGACCTCAGGAAACAAACACGTCATGCCACAATCCAAAGAAATTCAAGAAGAAATTTGAAATAAAAGTTTTGAAATGTAGCAGTCTGGAAAAGGTTCCAATGACATTTCCAAGACTCTGGGGCTTCAGCAAACCACTCCTCGAGCCATTATCCACAAATGCATAAAACTGTGAACAGTGGCTACTATTCCCAGGAGTGGTTGACCAGATTAAATTACTCCAAGAGTGCAATGACATCCAGGAGGTTGCAAAAGAACCGAGAACAACAGCCAAAGAACTCCAGACCTCGCTGGCCTCAGTTCAAGTCAGTGTTCACGACTCTTCCAGAAGAAAGACACTGACCCAAAATGGCATCCATGGGAGAGATCCCAGGCAAAAACCACTGCTGTCCAAAATGAAAACCAAGGCTTATCTCACGTTTGCCAAAAGACATCTTGATGATCCTCAAGACTTTTGGAAAAACATTCTGTGGACTGATGAGTCAAAAATGTGAACTTTTTGGGATGTGTGCGGCCTTTTACGTCTCAGGTAAAAATGGCAGAGTGTTTGATAAAAAGAACATGATGCCAACAGTGAAGCATGATAGTGGCAGTGTGATGGTCTGTGGCTGCTTTGCTCCCTCAGGAACAGGACAACTTGCTGTGATTGATGGGACAATAAATTATGCTGTCTACCGGAAAATCCTGAGGGAGAAAGCCTGACAAACTCAAGTGCTCTTGGATCATGCAGCAGGACAATGATCCAAAACACACCATCAAGTCCACCTATGAATGGCTAAAAAAATAAATAAATAATGGAAAAAAAAAACAGTTTTTGGAGTGGCCAACAACGTCTGGATTTCAAACCAATTGAGATGCTGTGGTGTGACCTTAAACGGGCAGTTTATGCAATAAAAAAACCTTCCAATATGGTGGAGTTGAAGCAATTCTACGAAGAAGAGTGGGCCAAAAATCCTCCACAGCAATGTGAAAGACTCAAAACCAAATATTGCAAACACTTGATTTCAGTTATTGCTGCCAAGGGTGCCACAACCCATTGTTCGGTTATATTTTCACATAGGGACAGGTAGGTTTGGATTTTTTGTGCCTTAGAAATTGCATTTTTTTAATTTCCTTGGGTTGTTTCTGTGTGATATTAAAACTCGTCTGATGAACTGAAACCTTTGTGAGTGATAAATATGCAAAGAACACATACTTGACCACCTTTTGAAAGTTCCAAGACCTCTTCCCACATTAACCTAAGAACCAAAAAAAATCAAACTCATGCCACCTCCCCAAACGGCCAAGCCTCCTCTCGTTCAGCAGAAAATTGCATGAGCTGCATTTGTATGCAAGTATTTCTGTGCCACTGACTGGCAACCAGTTCAGGAGTTAGTCCGCCTTTCGCCCGAAATCAGCTGGGATAGGCTCCAGCAACCCCCGTGACCCTCTTCAGCTGGGATAGGCTCCAGCAACCCCCGTGACCCTCTTCGGATAAGCGTGTTGAAAATGGGTGGGTGGGTATTTCTGTGCCACCAAACGGACATGCACAATTACATTTCCAAGAGAAGATTTAAAGAAAAGACAAAAACAAAGCAAAGCGCAAGAGACCCTATAAAATCCCAGAAATTATGAAAAACGTGACCGAAGTGAGGAAGTCAGATGACAGTTTCTTGTCCACTCCGGTCGTCAAGATTATTAAAGTGCTTGATGCTAAATGCTGTCAAACAGTGTAGAGTTTATTTCAAATATGTTTTAAGAGTAACATCTTGCGTTACGGCAGACATGTTACTCAACATTAGCTACTTATCGGCTTCACGACGAAGATAATCGACCGCTGTCGTAGCAACGCACTCGACTTGGTTAAAAATGATTACTAGAATTCACGAAGTTAGCCAGTAGTTATATGAAAAACTGATCACCAGAAAAATATTAATTTCAAGATTTACTTCCACAATTATGTGCGCTACTAAAGTGGACGATGTGGTTAGCTAGCCGACCTGGTAGCATTAAACAAAAACATAACACAAACAGCTTTTAGTGAAATATTTTACCTTTTACACCACACGCGTTTGTCCACTTGAATGTATTTTTCCGTGAACAGGTCGTCTGGTCGCAATGAAACTATATTAAATTAGATCTTATTAACAAAGCTAAGCATTCCCGTGCGCTTGACACATTTGAGCAACGTGAGTCCGGTTAGGTATGGCCCCGCCCAGTACACGACGATTGGACAAAGTATTTTACATGTCTTCTTTGAATGGCCGATACACCGTTTGTGGGCGTGTCTGCATTTTGGTTTGGCAAACGTCGGCGGTGGTTCACGTGGACTTCCATGTTACACAACAAGAGGGAAAACAAGTACGGTACAAATTGCGCATGCGCTAAACACCGCAGGCGTTGCATCTTCCCCTCTTCTTCACCGAAGGAATGAACACCAAACACTTGCTGTTAAAAATGTTCATACGTCCCACATTAGATTGCTGTTAATTCAAATTTCATATAGATATAGGTATAATAAATTAAATTTCCGTATTAACTGTAAAGCTGATAATACACAAAAGAAATCATCCATTTTCTGAACCACATACGCTCACTAAAATATTAATTGGCCCGTCCCCTGCAAACTGACAGTAGTAAGATAAAGTAGTAAATATAAAATGACCAAGATTATTCACAATACTCTTAACAATGTGTATAACAAAGTGAACAAGCAATCACACACCATTTACGTACACATTTTAATGAGATAGAAGCAACAGCAGGGTATGCAATCATCCAGTGTTGGCACAGTACATGTAATTCTCACACTGTCATTCCCCGAACTAAGTTTTTCTACAAATTCCAACAAGCTACAATGTTTTGCAGCATCGGACACACACAAAACAAAACCCACTGAAGATTAGTTCCACATACATTAGTTTAAAAAAAAAAACCATAGCTCAATAAAATGACATTACACACGTGCACTTGATTCGGATGGGATAAATGAGTGTAATTTCCACACTCATGTAAGTTATTTAAGCAAGTTAGCTACACAGTATGTTTGGGTGCATTCAGGAGGCACGGCTGACTCCATTAGGAAGATAATTACACATCTTTGGGTGGAAGAGGCGCAGACATTTAGACTGACTTATGACCGTGTGTCCATCCATTGGCCTGACACTAATGGTGAGGGTGCACAACCTTCTTACAATCATTTTATTTTCTATAAAGTCCTTCGAGGGCCATATGGAACTCTTGCAAAGTAATGTATTTATTATGTTGTATGATCATTTGTGGATTAGATGCTATCAGCTGACATTACAGTTACCTTGCGTTCTGGAACCGGTTCTAAAAATTTTAATAGTTGTATTGAGGGCTATTGTGGTAGTAGGTTCCCCATCCCTGCTGTAGACATTTATCCAAATCAGAGCACAAATGAGCTCTAACTGTACACCAAGTCATTCCTGAGACAATGATGCAAATGGACAGACCATTATGAACTGAGGCATAAACATATGTTCGTCCTCAGATGTCTTTGATAAAAGATGACCAGTTTAATTATTTCATCTATTCACAATTGAATTCATTACAACTGAAATTTCCATAAAGGAATTAATAAAGTACATTTTTCTAGCTACCTAACAATCGAGTACAAAAGCACTCGGCTGTGCGTATAAATAAGTTAAGGCATTGGGTCGCATGATCATACAATCAAACAGATGTGTGTCTTTTGAAGTCAGGCAAAAGCAAAAAACAGTATCGGAGTGCTCTTTCTCAGGTGAAAAATGCTGAATTTGCTTCAGTGGTAGGCACAATAAAGTTTCGAGGAAAATGTTTTAAGTCTTTCTGATGGCACGTCTCTTAGCTTGGCACACACTTTGTAGGCTTTTTAGCAAACACAAAAACAAAATGCAAGAGGAGTTCACAACAAGGCATCTTATTTTGTGTCGTACAGAAGGACAATGGGGTATGTTTTGATATAATTTACAACACGGATCGGAGACAAGGCAGCATTGTTTTGTTTCAACCATGTGACACTGGTTTTAGTTTTAGTTCAATTATCGAATGATTTGTTCATGTGTCTTTGGTATCTGGCACTGCATAAGGGCTTGTAGTTAGCCCATTACCTTTACTGAGACACATGCCAGCACACACACAGGACAAGGAATGAAGACGCCCTCCCCTTCCAAAGAGAAGATAATGTGGAACTTAGAAGCCACTAAATATGATTGTGGCCTCTGCCTCTATGCCTCTCAACGATGCATGTTGCTCATCTCCTCTTCGCTCCTTTCTTCCTCTTACTGATGTCGTTTTATGCTCTTGACCAAACTAAAAATGAACACAAATAAAGCACATTTATACAATTTGAACAAAAGACAAATAAGGCAAACAGTTCAGCAATTATACGGCGAAAAAAAAGTCAATAAAAGTCAAAATTCACCTAAGTTACCGAAACAATGCAATTTCTTTTCAAACCATTTCTGAAGACAAACATTTGCAGTATGTGATACTCACTAATAATGATGACCACGATAATCAGTAGGACGGCTATCAGGATGGCCCACATCTACAAAGAAGATGGGCAAAGAACGTCAGAGCAAAAATCAGCTTAACTCTTTTCAAAAACAGTCTTGATTTCATTTTTCTGCTTTGCAGCCACATCTGTCAAAATCATACCTTGCAGTTTTTCCACCAGTACTTCCTCTTCAGCTTGGCAGCACTGGTCTCAAACTGGGATGCTCCAGCTTGGAGTGCGTCTGCTCTGTCGTCCAGTTCGGACAATTTCTGGTCACGTTCCAGTACTTTGTCCACATTCACGCGCATAATATCCACCACCTGCTCACAAAACCACCACAGTTGACAAATTAATTAGTTCTGACCGAGTCATATCAAATGACCACAACCGCATATTGCATGTATAGTACCATAAAAAAAAAAAAAAAAAAAAAAAAGAATTCAGAATTAACAAAACACCATATTGGAGCAACACGTAAATAATTTGCCACTATTAGAGATTCAAATTCTGTGTTCTGTAAACTGATGTGAATTATTTAAAGGGGAAGTCAACCCCCAAATTTTCCTTACAATAATAAGTTCTATGCAACCCTACTGGTCTAAACACGGCATTCTGATTACTATTGCATTTGTGGAATATGGGTTGAGCAGTAAAATACACCTGTTTTTGTACATTTCAGGGGGTGGCCATTTTGCCACTTGCTGTTGTCTGAAAATGACATCACAGTTGCTCAGGACTCAGGTAACAAAAAATAAATAAAAAATCATGGCTCGGTTTCAGTAAACAGGAGGCGAGACTTTATTTGGATGGATTTTGCTGCTGAACTCATCCCACAAACGCATTACTAACCAGAATGCCGTGTTTAGAATAGTGGAGGGGCAGAGAACATAATTGGGTTGACTTTCCCTTGAAGGCCAGAGGCAGTTTGTTTTTCATCCGATTCATCGATTAATAGCCAAAATAAACCAACAAATTTATCATTTCAATCATTGTTAGTGGTAGCTCTACATAAATCTCTTTGAATCTCTCACTTTGAAGTAACAGACAGTATCAGCGAACACACACACAACCCACATGTTCCACTGATCCACAAACCCGACTACTGCCACTCCCCTCAGACAGAGCAACAGAGTGCAGAGGAGTGTGCAAGCATTACATAACCATGGGCTGTGATTATATAAGACTCCAGCAACCAATTGGAGGCTCTGTGGACATGCTCAAAGTTGACAATCTGTGTAGGAGGGGCTAATTTCAGCATAAAAAAAAATGGGAACGGCATTTTGTCATACGTCATATCAGAGGAGTATTGTCCGAATATTTTCAGGCATGTGAATTAACATGTGAAACGTGTTTGCGCGCAACACTCTTCTCCGAGTGGCGATTCCTAACAGCGACGCCAAAGGTTATGCAATTCTCTGTTCGAGACACACATGAAGAAACAGTGAGTCATCGGGTCGCCAGGGGCAGTGAGAGGGAGAGACGATCAATGGAGGCTCTGTAATGACATCACTCACCCCTCAACACAAACAAAACCAAAGGGTAACATTTTGATGAAAGCAACTTTCACTCGGCAGTGAGTATTAAACGCGTCCGAAAATGACGTGACTTCATCAATGCATGGAAGGTTAAACTTGGAATACAATTAAACAACACCTTTCATAAGCTTTATAGTGAAAGCATATTGTAGCTTTGGGTAAATACAATGGAACCACAGAGTTTGAACAAAATCTGGTAAAATTTCAAAACTACTCTGCACATACAGTGCTGTGAAATGGTATTTGCGCCCTTCCTTATTTCTGTGTTCTTTGCATATTTATCACACACAAAGGTTTCAGTTCAACAAACCAATTTTCATATCACAACAATGATGTTGTGTCAATATTTTTTCGGATCTCATAATATGGAAAAGAAGGAAAACAAAAGTTTGACTTATGCAGAGTTGTCATACCTCATCGACCTGGGCTTGGGTCTGCTGCAAACGCTTGTTGCTTGACCCAGCAGCGGAACCTTCTGGAACTAAGCCTGACCTGGAGAAAACAAGATGATATATATATATATATATATATATATATATATATATACACACACACACACACACACACACAGTATATATGTGTGTGTGTGTATGTATCAATGTGACGATACTCACCTTTGAGTTGCACATATTCACCCAAACCAGTGTATACAATGTATCATTTTTACCCTAACTTTAGTATTTGTATGTATATGTTTGTATGTATATGTAAAAATTGACCTGATAGAGAAAAACTGAAATCAGTTTTTTGATTCTACACCCAAAAACTTGTTAAAAACAGTTGTCAGACCTAACTCAACAAAAATTGCGTTCCCCAGAGTTATTATCAAGGACAGCACAGAACGGAATGAATCGGATTGTGCTTACTGTAATGTCATATTTTGCGGCTCCGATCAGCGACATCATTGATCAAACGTAAAGTATGACATTACAACCGAACACTGATTTTGCATAAAAATGCAAAATATCTGCCAATCCAACACAGCCAATCACATCTGTGTAACGTCTAATTGCAAACTGTACAAAAGAGAGAAACAAAAAAATGTTGAATTAAAAAAAAAAAAAAGCACCTAAAAACAAAAAGTTCTTAAGGATTGCATGATAACGTAGCATACTGAACTACAATCAAAAGTTAAAAACAAGAGAACGGAAGTGAAGGTTAAAAAAAAAAATGT